TAAACTCTCCAGCGGCAGCCATTATTGTTGGCACCCAAGCTCGCTTTGGTCACGTGGTTGATGACGTTACTGTTGATCATCTGTCCATCATCGTATAAAGCCCGCCCTGACAATTTGATTGGATCGCCTGACAGTGGGCGATAATACTCGCGCTACTATGGAGCAAAACCAGACCGAACTTCCCGACCTCAAACTTTGTGGGCGGGACTAAGTTCGGAATGGCACCCAGGCTATTCCTCCTTAGGATGTTTGAAAGTTGTTTTAAGGTTATCACTTGGTGTGTTCTTAACTTCAGCATATCCTCAATAGTTGGTTTAATTCAAGTGGTGGGGGGATTTTTGGATCGGGACTAGTTTCCTCATAATGCATTATGTACAGTAGTAGCCATTCAAAATGCCAACTTTCCTTGGCTGGTCCCCTAAAATTCCTTTTTAAACATCAATCTTTGTACTAAAATATTCTTTCTCACATGATTTGTGGCCATTAAGTTTTAAAGAGAAGCGCATCTCCTGGTCAGATTCTGTAATTCAGTGAAAGGATGGAGTCAGTGTAAAAAAAAAAAATGCAGAAGGCCAATAGCTGGAAGTTGGAGGGGATTTTGCTGGGAGTTGTAGGGAAGTGGGCTGCCATTCAGCTGGCGTTTGACGGGGAAGGGCCATTTTGAATGGCTGCTACTGTAGTATACAGGTGGTAATGAGGGGCGATTAGCCTCTCATCACCCCCTCCTGATCGGGAGTCCTATGGTCGGATGAAAATCGAACATGTTTTAATTCAGTCGGCCCTTGTTAGGTGACTGTGAGCATATCCTGTTGTTGAAGCAGAGCTACAAGCAGATTTACCTCAGCATCACCTAATGTGCATGGTGAAAACAAGTGAATTCTTCCTCTCTAACTTAACGCCATGAGGAATGTCAGATCGCATCAGAACATCGAGCCATATAGCTCAAGAACAGATATTGTGAAACCCTTTCAAACCCTGTGGTGGTGTTCTACAGTTTAAGCTGTTCCTGAGTCCAAATGATTGAAAAAACAGTATCGACCTGCCTTCAATCTGCCAAGTAGAGTAATCAATGGTAATCAAACAAGTTTCAGTTCTGCATTACATTTTTTCCTTAAATTTGCATTTACAACAAGTGTACTTTAGATAAGTAATGAAACAAAATGTTGTCCATAAAGAAGAGAGACTTCGATTCAGACAACTTAGACAAGATACATTTAATATCAATAAAAGAAGTCCTAATGAAGATCCCTGTGTTCTCTTTCTCAGGTCGGAAGTTTGTTATCGCTAATGCCAGAGTGGAGAACTGCGCCATCATCTTCTGCAACGATGGGTTCTGCCACTTGTGTGGCTACACCCGAGCCGAGATCATGCAGAAACCTTGCACGTGCAACTTCCTGTATGGGCCGGACACCAAGAGGCTGGCTATCGCCCAGATGGCACAAGCCCTGCTGGGGTCGGAGGAGAGGAAAGTGGAGATCAACCTTTACAGGAAAGACGGTAGGAGAACAGAGAATTATGGGCTTTTTTGGTGGCGATTTTTATTTTTTATTTTCGTTGATGCACAGCTGTGTGGAAACTCTGGGCCTCACTGATTGGTGCAACGTTTGAGCATTGAAAGCTGACTGTTTAAAAGTTTTTATTTTTTAGTATAAGGTTTTCCACTTTGTGTAAATGTCTGGTTCTTTTTATTATTGGATTCCACCTCTACTTCACTTAATTTGTGTTAAATAATGTATACAAAAAACAAAAAGAAACATTCAAAGAAATCTGTCCTGTATTGCTGCAAACGTGTCAGCTGGATTGGTGCCAGACAACATATGCAAACGATAAGTGGCTGCCATCTTGCTCAGGTCACAGATTCCCCGTTGCCAGAGCATCTGCTGGACATTTCACCTCTGTAGACAGAAACCAGACCAGCTGGTGGAGACGTAGCAACAAAACCTCTGAGAGGTGACATTAGGCAACAAGGCAGCGAAAAGAAGTAAAACTTTTATGCAAAACACTTGCTTTGACGACCTTTTTTGGATTTGCACCTGCTCTTTGGACATATCTGGTGTTTTTACTGAAAATCTGACATGTCTGTTGAATGAACTTAGCTTGTATCAATCTCTAGAAAACACATGGGTTGCCATTTATGCTGCACAGGCTGTTTAAGCCAAAGTGTATCTTTCAAACCGCATAATTGGGAGTAAACATTTAATTTATTAACTCTTACAAGCTGCCAAAAAATACCAGACTAAAGTCATCTTCAATGCATTTACAGTATTAAACTGGAAGGATCTGATTATTCTGAGTGGGTACTGGCTAGAAGTGGTGATGAGATCAGAAAAAAATTTATTTTAAGTTTGTGTTTGCAAAACACCATTTAATCTTACATAGTACAACCCTTTATCAAATTAAAACAAAACTTTGCATCCTACTGGATAGCACAGCCATTAACCATTTCTACCCAGACAACACAACCATTTAAAACACTTTTTTTTTTTTTTTGCTATTGAGGCTGAGCTTTATCTCACTTTGACATTCTTTGTTGGTTAATTTTGGTTTAATATCATTTATCCGTGCAAGTTTGCTTACAGCTTTTTAATATCTGTAAATTGAATTAATCTTGATGGTCTGAGTTAAAAGCTTGAGT